TGATTAGGCAATGGTATCACTGATTAAGATCTCTATTCTGTCGTGGGTTTATTGGACTGTGCTGGTTTGGTCTGATTTTTGCTCCATGCACTCAGGCAGTGTTTAATGTCTACCTATCATGCCATTTCTGTTGTCACGTAAAGTGAGTGAACTGGGGTTGGTACAACTTGAGCAATTGTTGGAACCAGGAACTACTTCCACTCAAAATAATTTGTTTGGCCATTAGGGTATCACGTGGTTAAAAACACCAAGAGCTCTTTTGTTTTCACATTTTCTACCTCGTTATTCATTTTTTGCCACTGAAAAGATATGACAGCAGACAGGAGCTATACTGAATGATTATAGGGTCCAGAATTGTATCACTTTTTGGAAAGCGAGTCTAATGGATAACTTGTGCTTTAAGTGTGTCACTCGTCAGGACTGGGGAATGCTAATGCAATGTACTCCAGTAGTTTCGGGTGCTGACTTTCTTTAGTTTGAAAAGTAGAAACAAATCTCTGTGCTGGAAGGATGTGACAGTGTTTATCTTATAGCATGTATTTTTAAATAAAGCACTGCAGAATATTGCTCTGGCTGTACGCGTATACTGAGAGCCGTATGTATGACAGCCTTTCAGGTGTTAGCAGCTCTGCTTCTGCTCTGAGGCACGGGAAGCTGTTGAAGTGTTTGGCCAACAGTTTGCCTTGTGTCTGGCCAGTGTACAAAGCGACACTGCACATCTCTTGACAGCACACAGCCTCTCCGGTGCGTTGTAAGGCCTCTGGTCAAGGTGCATGGAATGGGCATAAAGCCAAAGGGAGTGAAGAACAGTGGCTGCATGTCAACAGCACAACATGGTATCGGACCCTGGTAGAAAGAATGTGTTGCGGCAGGGCAGTGGATATCCTGGGTACTTTAAATGCAGGAGAACATATCCAAATTAAGCACGCTGTTCCCTAAAGTGTGGAAAGCGTTTTTCTTTTTTTGTAGCAGAAAAGACATTTTTAATATTCCCCTCTGATAGAAATACCAGAAATAGCTAATTTTATATCAATTAACACATTCCAACTACTGACTCACTTTCCACTAGTTTCCTGCTGTTTTCATTTCAGGTGGGAATTCTCTCTTTCTCTCCCCGCACTTCTGTTTGCTTTTATGAGAACATTCATTTTCTTTTCCTTCTAACCCATTTAAAAGTTGTATCAGGAAAGTATAAGTGTTTTTACTGAGATTTTAAACTCTGTCCAGAGGAATGTTTTGCACAAATGCCCGGAGAAGGAGAATGTTCTTGTCGTGTTGTCCGTTTTCTTCCTCTAGCCTCCTTCATTCTAATGTGCAGTACAAATTTCAAGGAAAATTAATGCTGTTAATTATTTCTAGTTGTGACAGATATCTCCAAAATATGTCAGCCCAATGGAGAGCTAATAGTGTAACAAGAATCTTTGAGTACTAGCAGCAAATTATCTGTAGATAATTTTCACAGTTGTTTTTTTTTTTTTTTTAAGAGCCGAATGTTCTTTTAAGCTTAGTAAATTCTCAACCTGCCAAGCTAAACATTCTAGACAAGGAGCTACTTGTCTGCTGCAGTTCTGCTATGGTGGTACACCCTGAGCATTCAAGCAAGAGGCATGTGAGGCTGTGAAATGAGCCCTCAGCATGTACAGGGCTGCTGGGGCATGCAGAGCCTTCACTCCCTTTTTATGCCATGCCCCTGTGACATGACAGGTACCTCCAGGGCCTTATTTAAAAATTGTTTTGTGGTTGTGACTTTGTCTATAAGACTGTTTTCACTCCTGTGGGGAGAACAGGTGTGGTTAAGATCTTGTTTTACACTTTTTCATCTATCTATGCTAGAATGCAGCTCTGTCCTCTTGTTGCTCATATTTCTGCAGCCTCTGTGATACCAGGTGGTCCTTCCCCTTCCTTGTCCCCTTGCATTTGCAATCCCAGATGAAGCCTGGAAGCTCCTGAAGGTCTCCGGGAATGGAAGAACAGCAGATCTGCCATAGATGGTGGAGGTGGCTCTGCTCCTCTTCCCTTCTCAGTCCCCAGGTGGTGACATTTAGGTCTTGGCCTCTGGTTCTGGTCAGGGAGCAGTTCTGTTTTCTGAGCTACTTGGAGTTTTGACACTACACAACAAATTCATCCCCAAGGTAGGACTCAGGAAGTGACTGACATCAACACTGCTCTCCTGGAGTGGTGGGGCAGGAGCAGGCAGGGTTTTCTTCCTCCTCTCAGGGGCTGGTGCAGCTGCTGCTCTCAGCACACTGGTGGACATGCAGCACAAGAAGGCCAATGTGTATTCTTGAGTAAAATGGCCTTTCAGATTTCCAAATGCAGTTTTACATAAGCCAGATGCCTAACTGATGCTTTTCCTTACTTCCTCCCCTTTTTACCTTAGCCTCAGCCTGAAAAGAGTTCACAGAATCATGGAATCACAGAGGTTGGAAGGAATCTGAAGAGATCATTCAGTCCAACACCCCTGCTAAAGCAGGTTCCCTGCAGCAGGTCACCTCCCTCGACCTGCTGGCCACACACTTTTTAATGCACCCCAGGCCCATTGGCCTTCTTGGCCACAAGGACAGGCTTCTGGCTCATGGCCAACCTATTATCCACCAGGACACCCAGGTCCTCCTCTGCAGAGCTTCTTTCCAGCAAGTCAGTCCCTAACCTGTACTGATGCATGCAATTGTTCCTCCCCAGGTTCAAGTGTTCTTGAATATAATGAATTTTTCTTCACATGGGTGGATTAGGATGAGATACCCATTTCCTTCTCAAATTATGAATAGATAAGGGCCTCTCACAGCACTGAGCAGGCAGCAATAGTGCTCTTACCAAAGCTCAGGGCAGGCGAACTAACAAACTGCTCAAACTGTGCCATCTGAGCAGCAGAAGGAAACAAGATGAAAAAAGAAAAATTAAATCCTAAAAGCTGAGCAGGATGGCTTCTCTTTCTCACTCTTAAATTGAACACAGTTATGCTTTATTTTTTTCCCTCTGTCCCTTAATTTCTGTTTTCAGCTTCATTAAAATGCCGGAAATTGGTGGGTTTGGAACCTACAGAGCCTTTCATTTGTCAGGATTGTCTTATTCCTGAGATTAAATAAGCACAGCTCCTCTAGAGAGGAATTCCTGCTGATAACTAAGCCAGATTATCTGGTTTTTGCTGGCCTCTGCCATTGGCACAGTTCACAGCACTGATTTTACAAGAAGGAGCTCTGCACTGCTACGTTCCCCAGCATGCCACCAGGTTTGGCTGTCCCCATACTCCTCTGCTCCCAAACCTCAGTGGGCTCCTCAGAATTGTTCTGTGTCGTTTTTCTTTTCTATATTCAGTAACTGCTCTTCATTTCCTTAATGAGCCCAACCTGCAAAATGAGAAAGATGTTGCCTGTAGCACATCAGACTCGACCTGCCTATCTTTGAGCAATCAACTGTCCATCCCTGTGCTGCTTTGTCCTTGGATAAAATACTGCATCTGTAGTGGAACATGCCTGTGCTTTGTCCTGTACTGTTTGTACCTGCAAGGAACCGTTGCGTCAATGCCAAGAGTAGGTTCAACCAGCAATATACACTTCACTAAAACAAGATTATACACCTATTTTAAAAAGTGTGAGATTTTCTTGAATGTATTTGCACAGGAAATTGCAATTTAAAACATTTTTCCTTTGCACAGTTGTTTGTTCACTTGCACCTCTGTAATTGACTTAGAGCCACCTCTGTTCTGTTAAAAAAGGTATGTATCTTTGCCATCTATAATCCTTGTGTGTACGAAGCCTGACAATTAAGGCCAGACTAATTCCATGTATTTGCAGAAACAGCCCTACAGATGGCTGTTAATTTCCCTGGGCATCCTTATAAGCCAAATATGTTTCTGTTATTTTATTTGCAAAATAAACACTATACGTTTACATAATTATATTTTATGTCATAATTTCAGGTTTTGCTTTGGCTTACAAGGGCTCAGGGCCTTCAGGTTAGCTGTTTTGATTATCCAGTAGCAGTTCTATAGCTGGAGGTAGTGAATTATGCTTGAAAATATGCACACCAAATGCATAGCATTTTCTATAATAAAGTGAAAAACACACTTGTACACTGAAAAATGTGAGTTTTTTTTCCAAAATGGAAAGCATGAAGTGCCATTCAAAGCATCTGATATTTTGTCTTCCTGTTGAATGAATGAGAAATGTCTGCATTCCAGAGAGGAAAATCATGAGAAATACCACGTGCAGAGGAGCAGGGCAGAAGTTGTTGCCACTTTGAAGGTTTTCTTAATTTCCATTAACATTTGAAGTAGTTCTAAGGGCAGAAGTGACTTCCAGCAGGCTGTGGGGCATGTGACAGTATGCTTGGAGCTGAGCCCGGGTCATTCTTAGCCCTCCCTGCCCAGGGGACAAGGAACGTGATCGTCTCTGTGACCTCAAATCCTGTGATGAAAACCCCCCAAACTCATCCCTGACTGGCAGCTCACTGCTGGACGCAGGCAAACAGCCAGGTCCCAGCAGATGCCTGAAGCAAACCACTGTCCACAGGGCTTGTTTTACAGAGACTTCTTTCGATCCCATCTCAGTGATTTTTTGTCTTGGGCAGCAACTGTGTAACTGAAAATTTGGAGGTCCGAAATGTGTATGGCATAAGTAAAGTTCTTCAGATGAAGTTTCTGCAATGGAAAAAAAAAAAAAAAAAAAGGTTCCTGTACTTCATAGTGCATATTTTACAATGTGGTGCTCACTGAAGGAAGCAGGTAATGATCTGACGACTGTTTACAGGATTGAAAGGTACTTCGTGTGCACAACAAATTTAAGTGTGTCTCTCAGGTTTTCATTTTTATGCTTTGACTGTTCCTCATCAGGTTTCTGTATGCATTTCTGGAGGGGTCTTTTCTGGTCTGGTCCAAGCGCTGCTGAACTGCTCTGATTTGTTGGATGTGTCACTGTAGTTGCAATGCTTTGCTGCTTTTTTTTTTTCTTTTCCATTTTTATGCTCTGAAAGTAACATCTTTTTCTTTATCTTTTTTAAAGATAAAGACATTCCCTGCTGATACATCTAATCCTTTTTTCGATCCTTTTACAACAGTACCACAGTTTTCTGTAAGTAGAATGTACAACTGAAAAGCTGTGTATTTAACACAATTCCAAGGAATAATTTAACAGTGTTAGAAACATATGCATTAAGCAGTCCTTAAAAAAAGATAAACTCCCAGCAGACTTTAAAGTGCAAATCTGTTAAATATTCCCATTATGCAAATAATGAATGTGCCTGCATTCAGATATTGATGCATACTAGACAGAGGACTAAGAGTCAACTGATGAAGCCTCACTGCTAATGCAGCCAGTCCCCAAACGCTGCTCAGCTCAGGGCTGCTGAGGGCTCACGCGAAGCTCAACAGCATCTTTCCAAGGGTGTGGGGATGACTTAGTCCTCTCTCTAGTGACTGCATGGCCTGCTGCCTGAAACTGCCTGCTGTGCCATCACAAAAAGAAGCCGGATTTTCACTGAATTGGCATCTGAATTTTAAGGAAGAATTGTAGTTAGCATGTTGATGACTACAGTGGTATCCTTGTTTAAACTCCTGTGTTTACTTAATAGCCCGAATCAAATATTAGACTTAATTCTTACTAAACTTTCAGAGATGGTGGGATTTAGAGCTTTTGGTAAACTGTGTGTGAGTATGAACAATTATTAGACAACTCAAAAAGAAGTCCAATCCAAGCCCTACTTTAAAGGTAGAACATAATGTAATAAGTGTGACAAAATAATCTACAGACAATTCAGAGAATTTTTAAAGATTTTTGAGCACTTAATATAATGGAATATGGGATGTGGAACTCTGATTATAACCCTTCCCATTCTTTCCAGTGTGAGAAGTGGTTCTGGTTTGTAAGCAACGTTCCCTGCCTCTAATAGTAAACTGCAGTAATTGGCTTCTGTTTTGTCAAATTACATCGACAGAGTCAAGCATTTCAGACTTCAACATAACTTTTACTGGTAGCAGCAATCTATATCCAGCACAGAATCAGAGTCATGTAACTCACTGCTGGGCCATGTGCAGTGACTGGCTGCACTTACTGATTTAAAGAAAAAGGCTTTTCTTTTACAATAAACCTGATCACAGGACTGGATCGAAATGCTGCTTTTCCCCTGCAAAGTATTTGAAAGATAGAGTTAGTCCTGCAAGTGAATATCACTCCAAGTATCCTCTAGACATAGTCCCTGATGGCTGCCAGCATTTCTGACTCCTGTTCCTTGTTTTGTTTTCCTTTTCCCTGCTTCCCCTTCACTTTTTCTTATTTATTCATTCATTTTGCTTGGAACAGAACATTGAAATGTTACTGAGGGCATGGCTTCTAATTTTGTGGTGTATATGCAGTGACACTGAGAAAAAAAAAAACAGAGAATTTTGTTTCCTATAATCTTTAAAAAGAATGTTCATGCCAGGAACCCCTCTGAATTTCAGAAATTTCCAGGGAGAAACAGTAGGCTTAATGGCTGTCAGTGCGTAGAAGTCACACAAACTTAAGTTAATGGAATTGTGTCTGTTTAGACCAGCAAAATATTTTTTTCTGTAAACGCATACATATATAAAAAGATGCATTGGATATGTACAGTAAAACCATTATCCCAAGCAAACACACTTTAGGACTCAGGACAAATCTTTAGCAAGTGTAATTTTCCATAACACCGCTGTTTCAATGAGGCGGGGAGAACTTAGATCAGCTTCCCAGGTAGTGCTGCTGCTCATGCTCATCCTTTAGAGGATGAGTGCCAAACTGATGTCCCTGTAGCCTGTCAGGCTGAGCTCTAAAAGATGAGTAAGAGAGGAGTCTGAACAGGATATATTAGCCAGTATTTACATGTAAGATTGACTGGGATTGAGGAAGGAGACTTTCTTTAGTTGGTTTTACGCTTTCCATTTTCTTAATTTCATGGACTTAATGGAATTCCCGTTGCTTCAGAGCTTCTCTTGGAGCACATCACATGCTTTTAGTTGAAACATGGGCAAGGACATGCTAAAAATGACAGAAAGAAAATGAACCTAATACAGCTATGCTTTCCTAGGCCCAAATAATTGTCCCCCTGGTTGAATTTGTGGGTTTTTGGTTTTTTTTTAGCATTAATGCCATGTGGCATGCAGATTTTGAGGAAAAAAATTAAGAAAGAAAATTTGCTATTTACATAGCTGGATAAATATCATATGCTCCCTTATGATGGTGACTTTTCTTTCTCTCTGCTGCAAAGTCTGAACAGAAGTTGCCATGATAGAAATCCAGCAGGAGTGCACCCCAAAGGTCCTAAGGTACTGGCAGCCTGCAGTTGCTCCATGATCTTCCCAGATCACACATACAGCTTAGTGCTACCCACTGTGGTTTGGCACAAGAAAGAATCCCTGACAGTAAGTTGTGAATGCTGACAGCAGAGTTGGCCACTCCACGAACACGCAGCTTGCACTGCAAGCTGCAGCTTCTCCTTCTCTTTATTAGCTGCTTGTGTTGAGGGTTTGGCAATGAACAGGATGGAAGTGAGCAAGAGCAGAAGAAGCTAATCTACACTTCTTTCTTTCTGTGTCTGTGTGCATCTTTTGTAGGCAGAGTTCACAGACAGCAAATTGCAGTGCTGTGTGGTGCAGTCATCTCCCAAGCTTTCGCCGGTACCGAAATCTCCTGTCCTGAGATCACTGGCAGAGCCTGTGCCGACTCCAACGGTGCAGACAATATACACGTCACATAAACCGATATCGCTGGCGGACAGGTACTGTGCAGCTCTTTCACACTCTGTGCATAAGGGAATTGGCGGGGTATCTCTTTTTCTGTCTTAATTGCAGTGGGGAAAATTCACTTTCTTTCTAAAGTGCCTTTTTACCCCCGATACCAAAAGATTTTCAATCGCTTCTTGATACTCAGAAAAGGTGGGTTACTTCCTTTTGCAAGGAAGCAACTAGACTTCACATCTGCTCTGAGGCAAGAGAAACAAAAAACAAAACAAAACCACAAGAACTTAATTAACTGCTGCAGCCAGCAGTGCACCATTTATATAGTCAATGGCCTGGAGAGAAAAGGTTGTGCAGATTTTCCTCAGGCAAGTCATTTTCTCTGAACTATGGTTTTCCTTTAATAATTGCTATTCCAATTTGTTTTCTATTAAATGTCTGTGGAGGGAAGCTGAAATTAAGAAGTATCTGCCCTTCTAAATAAAAAACAGACACTGGTTTTCTTGTTTTCTTTCTTTGTCCTCTTGGTTGTTTTTTGGGGTTGTTTTTTTTGGTTTTTTTTTTGTTTGTTTTTATAATGTCAGCCTACAGTGATGTTTCTTGTAGTTTCTCAGAAAAACAAGCCATCCCATCTTTCTACTGTAATCAGTTTCTGTTCCTCCATCCTACCAGTTTTGCACACTGGCTTCTTATTTCACAGTTTAATCAAAGCTGAATTTCCCAATCTGATGATTTACTGAATACAAATGTAGGAGTGAATATACTCAGTATTTTTGGAACACAAAAGGTCCGAAGCTTAGGTTGAATAGAAAAATATTTCCTTGGCATTATGATACATTAAATGTTTCACTTTTGGATTTCCAGTCAATTCCCACTTTCATTTGTTAAGTATTTTTGCAGATACTGGTTTAATTGCACCTGCACACTTGGTCAACACTTCTAACTTACCTTAAAATGTGTGTTCCAGTGAAAGTTTAATTGTGAAGCTGTAGAGTTAAACCAAAAGAGGGAAGATTTAAGTTAGACATTAGGAGGGAATTCTTTACTCAGAGGACAGTGAAGCACTGGCACAGTCTGCCCAGAGAAGCTGTGGGGGTCCCATTCCTGGAGGTACTCAAGGCCAGGTTGGGCAGCCCTGTCCATGGCATGGGGTTGGAATTGGGTGATCTTAAGGTACTTTCCAACCTAAGTCATTCTCTGATTGTATGACTACGATTCTTGATTCTGTGAAGTCAGCTTCCATAGGATGACCCCAGATCAAATAGACTCCTGCTTGTCCATAATGGACAAAAACTCTCAAAATGTCTCCATAATGCTTTCCAAGCATTAGGTACTAACTCCCAGAACAACACAGTAAACTGTTGCTTTTCTTCCCAATTTTTGCCATTTATTAGAAATGGGACCAGCAGCTCAGGGCACTCCCAGTGTGAGATTTGGTGTGTGATTAAGAACATCCAGGCTCTGCTTCCTTTACCCTGATGTGTGCACATGAAGCAGGCTGCAGTAAATTCAGCAAAGGTGGATGTCCATCCAACTCACACTGTGCTGAGGAACAGAGGGCTGTAACACCGTTCTTTTGAGTGCTGGTATTTACTGTAGCTGTTTTCTTTCATTTTTCGAGTCCTCATCCAGCTCCCTTTGAAATCAGTTGCCTTTAGCAGGAATGAGGTTAAAACATAAACAGTTTAGCCATATGGGTTTTTCTGTGTCCTTTTCCTTGCTTCTGTTTGCTCTTCAGAAATATCAAGCAGTACTTGCTTTTGAATCAGCCATCAGTTATCAGCCTTTTCACTGAATCGAGTCTGACCTTTTTTCCCCTCTTTTGGTATTTCAAAAATGTTAATTATTTTAAATTGAAATCTGAGACTTATTGTGGTTCCCATAATTGGCTATTTGTGCATTAATTACACAGCGCTGAGACTCTGAGGCGTGAACTTGAGAGAGAGAAAATGATGAAAAGACTCTTGATGACAGAATTATGAAATTCTCGCTTCCGTCTGATGGAGAATGGATTGGGGCCTTTCATGTGCCTTCTGTCTGTTTACATTCCTCTGCTTCTGTGTACTCAACATAATGCATCGGGAAAACGTGTGATATTCCTGACTCGCCTGGATTCACTACGGTTGGTTAAAATTTAGTCTTGGCTAGACTTTAACTTGAAGGAGTTCCTTTATTCGTTTGCTGCTGGGAAATAAACCTTCAATCCTTTCTCTCTCCTGAGATTTTATACTATTAACACAGTTAATTTCAGGTTTGGTTTTGGTAAATCTAGGGCAAAAAGGATCAGCAAGGAGCAAACTGATCTCTATTGGGAAACACTGTTCTGTACATATGTTAATAAGTGCACAGAAATTAATGTTATGCAGAATATTTTGATAGTAACATAGAAAATATGTCATTTTGTACAACTGAAAATTGCAATGAGCTACTGCTATTTGTTAAAGAACCGTTTTTAAAGCAGAAGAATGATTATTACATCCTAACCCCAGGACTGTTAGTCTCCACAGAAAAACGAGTGGCTGTCTTACTAAATTCCTAACCTTAACCTTTACTCAGAGATACAAATAGCTGCAGGGGGAGGACACCCCTCCACACAGGTATACGCACCCAACACTCCCCATAGTCTGCCTTCTCAACCTCAATCAGAAGCTAAATCTTACTTTATTTCCATTAATGATTTAAAAAAAAAAACAAAAACAGTTGTTTAAAGTGATTTGCTACTGACTCTCTAGCTTGATACTGACTTTTTGTAACTTGGTGGGAAGTTCCAGCTTCCCCACGTTTCTGGGCACTCAGGCCTGCCCGCATGTAGATGGCTCTAGCTACAGAGCTTGGGCAGCACGAGTACAGCTGGCACAGCCAGGGCGCTTCCCCTCTCTGATCCACCTTCCTGCTGCATTGATTTATAGATCACATTAAAAATAATACAAATAGTTTGTGGTACAGGGTTGGGTGGGTGTTCTCATCAGCAGGACCGCAGCCTCGAGGAGTGTGTTGTGGTATACAGGTAATATGATCAACAGTTTCCTAAATTTTAAAGAGCAGTTCTCCATTTCCCCCTGTCCAGCAGTGCAGGGTTGCCTACAAAGCTACCAACAACTGACTGTCAGCTACAAGATACTATTCCAACAGGAAAGCTTTTGTGCGTTTTGTATGGCTGAAGATGTATATTTTTCTGTTACTCTGTACACTGTGTTCTCTGGTTTGTACTAAGATAAAAGATTGTCCTTAATTTGATACTGATTACGATGGCTTTATCTCAGCTTAACCCGTTTGTTTGTGTGGAGGCTGGGAAGTGATTGCTGTGAGACTGAGTTTCCTTCAGTTAGCTTGTGCTCTTCTGCTTTCTCCTCTTCGAGAGGAGAAATCTTGAGGGCATCACACGACTGTGGATTGCAATGTTAGAGGTATAAAATGACTTGTCAATCTTAGATTTACTGGGACAAGAAACTAGCATGAGGCTTCCCAGTTAAAATCCAGCACCCCAAACCTTTCTGGTTACCATGAAATGGGGCCAAATAAACAGTACAACTGTGAGGTAGAAACCCGCAATGCAAAATGCAATGATGTAGCTCAACATCAGGAATGGGCACAAGGAGTCATAGAAACACACCTGGACTGCAGATTTCAGAGCACTCCGATGACATTTCTGGGTAATCAGACACAACCTGTATGCTGTCCGTCTTCTGGTTATGGTGCCAAGGTGTTTCTATTCCTTATGTTTTCATGTACCTCTCCATCAGCCTGAGATTATTAAAAATGAATTAGGAACATTAAATTGCTGTGAAGAGATCAGAAAGGAAGGGAACATGCAACACACATCAAAGTCTGCATCTTCTGTTTCCCATTTCTCCTTGCTTACCACGTCCCAAAAGGTCCCGATGGAAGGAGGAGCAGCAGCACCTTTGTCCACATCCAAACAGAACTGAGCACTGGAAAGAACAAATACACAAAAACTCTAAATAGAGATGTTGTTTCAGGAAAGCAAAGTAGGTTTGCAAATGGCACTGCACTGACCCTATCTGGACCTGATCTGCTGCAGTTAGGCAGCGCCCACTTGCATGTGATCCGGTGCCTGTTTCACAAAGTCATCACTGAGGGAAAACAAAGGAAATCAAATTTGAGTGCATGCTTTGGTTGTACTGATTGCCTTGGAATGGACATTGAGAACCCTGCAATGTGCCTTCAGGTCTGGGGGTAAACATCCGGTTCCCTGCATTAGGGCAGTCTGGTCACATACGCAAAAGCCTTTAGCAAAATGGAATGCCTGACTCAGACCAGCCCTTCTGATTTTCTTGCTCATCAACAAGCTATTAGTTTATTCTTTTAAGTGCAGCCTTTTACTCCCGTTGTCTAAAAATTCTTACACTAAATTATTCAGAACTGGAAAACAAAAAATGTGAACCAAGGTGACTTTGCAGTGGCCATGTCCCCACAGCTGGGGCTGCTCTGGCCTAGCTGAGCTCCTCAGACCCCCAAATGGAGAGGGAAAGGCTCGTGTGGTCACTCAGTTCCAGTGGGGCATTTCCCACCAAAAACCCCCACATACTTTGCCTTGTCTTGTTTTAGTGTCTTATCTACTGGCTGCCACTGTTTCCTATTCTGCAGTCTAATGGAGCTTTATTTAACGCATTAGACTGATACTGAACTAAACTTTTACCTGCAGAATGTCATCATGTTGTTCTTTCTATGTATTTTCTTCAGCCACGCCTAAGCATTTCAGTTTCTACATCCTTTGAAATATCAAACACTCCTGCCTTGCCTCCAGTTGGAAATCATAACTTTAGGACACCTGCGATCCAAACTACAGCAAACAAGACAACGTCAACATGAACATATGCTGGGGGCATATAGTCTAGGTTTGCCCCTAGGCTTTAACTTTACAGGTGTGAAAGGATACTCTGCCCGAAGGAATGTCTATATAATAGTGCAGAAGTATCTGAGCTAGCTTTAATGAGCTTGCATATGTAGTTGTGGCAGCATGAAGCCCAGCACAGGCTATCATTATCATGTACATTGACACATGTAAAGATAACACATTTAAACGGCAGCCTTCTGAAGCATGGTCTCCGGAGCCAGTGACAGGTGGCTGGAAGGAACCTGCCCTCCAGCCCTCCAGGGACAGGATTCATCTCAACTAATGCTATATATCCAGCTCTCCCTGCAGAGAGATCCAAGGGACTGCCTTCCAGAGGTGCCTCTGACTTCAATGTCTACCTTTAAATTGCTTACTGTTAAGTGAGATGAATCCTGCCCTCTGTCCCTCTGGTTAGGCCTACATTGCAAGCCCTTGCCAAGTCTACACCATCCAGGGGTCCTTTGAGATTCAATTTGTGACCAGCATAGCTCTGTAAGCAAGACCTAGCTCATTAGATGTAAATATGCCACTGAACGCCCTGTTGTCAGAACAGCTTTCTTCCCTCATGGAGGGAGCAAAGGGCCGGGACAGCCGCCACGGCTGGAGCTGAGAGGCAGCAGCTGGTTTTATGAGACCAGGACAGCTGGGGATGCCTCCTGAATGGCCATGGTGGCATCCGTGGGCCTCTGGGGCTCCCGGCTTTCAGTAGAGCCCAACAGGGTGCCCTGACCTGGCAGGCAAAGCTCAGCTTTCGGGTGTGAAGTTGCCAATTGGCAGAATGCAAGGTTGTCATGCTTCGGTGATTCAAGCAAAATTTAGCGGCCAATTCAGCAGCTATGCAAGGAGTTAAATATTTTCTCATATTGCAATCTCTTATGGAAGCCAAGCAATTGTGGCTCATTTTTGTGTGGTTCAGGTGCTTTCACTATTTTGTTTAAAAGGGGATAACCGTGTTTTCGAGATCCCTGGTCTCAATCAGATCCCACATTATGTGCAGATCTCTCACATTCAGATGTACTCAGCCCCTGGAAATGCAGTGTTTGAAAATTAACTCCTGGGAAGCTTTAGCTCGTGGCTTCACATCTCTCTTGACACAGGACCCTATGTGCTCATGAAACAGAGCTGGCAATGCAGGGAAATGTTTCATTGGAGGCAGCACCATGTTTCGTTTGAACTGTTTATGAATATCATTTGTTTTTCTTTTCTTTTTTCTGTTTATTCTTCTGAATACATTTCTGGTTCATTGGCTACAAAAACTTACTCGTAATTATGCAACGGAATATTGTTTCCTTCTTTTCTTCTATTTTCTTTTCTTTATTTCTATTTTTTTTTTAATTTTGATGTCCTGATGTTTAAGGAGTTTGCAATAAATATACTGGTGCTGATCTGTAATTGCATGTAAGATCAGCCTCACAACTGTGTTTTGTAAAGTTAAGTGCCGTAAAAGAACCCATGGGGAGGAGAAGGAAGAGAGGGAGTGAGGGGAGGAGAAGGCTTCTCTGGCAGCTGCAGCCTGGGCTGGTGGGCAGCAGCTTTAAGGAAAGATTGCTCACCCCGTTTCGTTCCATCTGGGTAGCAGCATGTATCACCAGACAGTGTGTGATGGCATTCTGTTGAAAACATGCCTGGAGAGAAACTTTTACGGCTCAGCTGTTTACCTGTTCCTGTATTCATGCCTGCAATAAATGAGATGAAAAATAAATCACGGAGTCTGAGCAATTTGTAGTCAGTTCAATGACTTAGGAGGGGGGACCTCCTAAACATGGGACCTCCTAAACATGTATATAAACTTCCATGAACACATACATAAGGGAAACATGTGGTTGAGTTGTATGTGCCGGTTATCTGTGGGCCCTCAGTTGGCATTCTCTGCTGAATTTCGCAACAGTGGAACCTTGGTGAGACCAAGGCAGAGCAACATGAACCCTGGCATACTGCTGGTGTCTGAGCTGGGCCCCAAATGTGGCAAAAGGCATTGCTGGGATGCAGGGCTGGGGATAAGGCATCCACTGCACTCAGGGTTGAGAGACCCCAACTTTCTGAGCTGCTCTGTGAAGGAAAATGCAATAAATACATAAATATGTTAAAAAGTATTCTAAAATATAATTGTAAGTAGTTTTTGTTTAAATACAATTAAAACATTTCACTTAGATTTTGTCCTTGGTCTTGCCAGCCTATCAGTGCCTAATGGGAAGCTGCTTCAGAATGAAACATTTCCACTTTCTTTTGTTCAAAGATCTCTAAATTAGGACATTTTCACGTTCACTTTCCCAATGCATTTATGAAATGAAATCCCAGTAACATTCACCCCATTTTCTGAGGCTGTCAAAACTCTGTACTGGGAAGGAATATGATCCCATCACAATTTCTCCAGCTGGGTATTCATCTATTTTTAATCTCTATGCAGGGAAATGCAACAGATCAATGTTCTTCCATCAGCATTCAATTTATACCAAGAAAATTGATTATCCAACCAGCAAATCTAGTTAATTAATTCCCCTTAAGATCTGTCTTTACTAAAAAAAAATAGTGTTTTGGGGTGCAGGGGATGAGCAGCTGTGCACTGAAAGGTCGCCAAACACACCTGTGTAACTTGGTTGGGACTGTGAAGCATGAGGACTGTAGAGATATAAATCTGAAACAGCTTGTTTTATTATTGAGTGACTGATCTATGGGAGTGGACGTGAGGTCATTAAGATCAAGTCTCTTTCTCAGGGGGTGTGTTTTCTAGAGTAGGAAAGAGACACTGCATGGGAACTATTAACTTAGAGGAAAGATGAGGCCATAGCTGGCAGCCCAGCCATGCTGCACAAAGCCTACTGTGGGTCAGGAAGGTGCTGGTGCAGATGCAGGTTGGTGAAGCAAGCCCCAGCCCTTGTGAGATGCCATAGCCATGCTCTTGCCACCCTTGCTGAAGCCGTTGGGTGGCCAGCACAGGGATCCCCACATGCCTAAGTTCAATTTATCCTAAAGAAGAACCCTACAGCAACCCCCCACCCCAGGGTTGGCTGTCACCATACCGACTTGAAGAGACCATACAATTGCAGAATATCCTGAGTTGGAAAGAACCCATAAGGATCACCGAGTCCAACTCCTAGCTGATGCAGCACCACCCAAAAACCAGACCATATGGCTAATAGTGTTGTCCAGACATCTCTTGAGCAAGCTCCAGCAAGGCTGGTGCCATGACCTGTGGAGCCTGCTCCAGTGCCCAACCACTCTCTGGTGAAGAACCTTTTCCTGATATCCAGCCTGAGATGCCAGGGGATGAGGAAATTCATAGAAGGTCAGCCACTGCCCTCCTCCAACCACCCAGAGCAGATTCATGGGAGCATCCCATCTCCTGGTGGGAGATAAGGAGAGCAGCCTTGCCCTTTTT